GTGCATGTGTGTGCTTGTATGTGTATGCATGTGTGTGTATGCGTATGTGTGCTTGTATGTGTATGCATGAAATGTAAAATTAACATTGTAGGAAAACATTCACACGACCTCCGAGTTACACCTTTAGCGCGCGCGTGCGTGTGCGTGCGTGCGTGTGTGTGTGTGCTTGTGTGCGTGCGTGCGTGCGTGCGCATGGGTGTGTGCATGTGTGTGCTTGTATGTGTATGCATGTGTGTGTATGCGTATGTGTGCTTGTATGTGTATGCATGTGTGTGTATGCATGTGTGTGTATGCGTATGTGTGCTTGTATGTGTGCCTGTGTGCATGTGTGTTTTCGCCTGAGTGTGCCTGCATGTGTATGTGTGTGCAAGTGTGAGTGTGAGAGTGTGTGCATGCGTGCATATGTGTGAACGGGAGAGGGAGAGGGAGAGGGAGAGGGAGAGGGGAGAGGGGAGAGGGGGGAGGGAGGGAGAGAGAGAGAGAGAGAGAGAGAGAGAGAGGAGAGAGAGAGAGAGAGAGAGAGAGAGAGAGAGAGAGAGAGAGAGAGAGAGAGAGAGAGAGAGAGAGAGAGAGAGAGAGAGAGAGAGAGAGAGAGAGAGAGAGACTTTCTTTCTGCTTCTTGCTTTTTCTCCCTCTCCTTCCTTTCTTTTTCTCTTCTCTCTCCTTTCCTCTCCTTTCTATTCCTCCCTCTTTTTTCCCCTCTATCTCCCTTCCTCTTCCTCTTCCATTCTTCCTTCTCCCTCCCTTCCTTTCATGATCTGTTCTCCCTCTCCCTCTAAGGTGCTAATCGTCAGCCTCTTCTGGTGGGTGACCACAACCATAACAGTATTTGGGAGTACAAATCTGTGGTATATCAGCATAATCTTTCAACACAAACATTTACTTTGATTGAAATAAGGAATACTTAGTACATGTTTGAAATCAGCAGAAAATTGGCAGTCATGTAGGACTAAACCAAGAGCAACCTCTCGAACTTCATTTTGTTTTGGATCAGGAAGACTCCTCAAGCCAAGGTCTTGGTCCTTTAGGGCATTAGAGACACTTACTACAGATTTTTCCTTGTAATAATAGACTGTGCTTTATCCAAATCCACCTGAAACTTGCTGTGATCTATGACAGAAGGCTTACAATCTCAAGTCCAACCTTTTGGTGATTTAGTGCCAAGTGATAACCAAGATCTCTCCTTTACACACTGGCAATGGTCTCAGATTTTCTACTGTGTATATTCTGACAAGAAAGAATTTGGGGTGATTCTTTATTTGATGTTCCATGCTGAGGGAGGGCTACAAGCTTGATCTTGCCAAAATATATGCAGTTGCTCTTTGCCAGAATGCTGACCGACAAAGAGGCTTTAACGATTAATGTGTAAGTTACAGGCAGATGTGCGAGTGTCTTGTTCACATTTATCATCTACACAGAGTAAGGAGGTCTACAGTCACTTATCAGTTGACAAATATATGTTATGGCCCCTGTGCTTCATGCTTTGGTGACTGTGAACAAATCTCCACCATTTATATTCTAGTAAGACTGTGTTTCAAGGGCTCCTGGCATGTCAAAACTACAAAAATGTCCCAACTCCGTCTGACATGATATACTTGGTGGAAATTATCTGCCTTTGCCAGTGTGGAAATGCCGAGTTAACAGCAATAACGCTGTGGTCATACTATCCATAATTGCCAAAATATGACTGCTGTCACTTGATAATCTAACAGCTTTATAACTCATACTTAAAATATCTATTGTCCTGTGGATCTAAAAATCCTGTCAACGATATAACCTATGATGTGAGACAATAAAACCTTCTTTCCTCCTTGTTATAACCAAACAGATGATAAAGAGCCTCACAACTGGATCACAGGAGGCTGTCACGTCAATGTAGGCCTAACATGGGGCTATTTAGTCATTCTTTATTCATTGCCGGGATGGTAATATAAGAAAAAATAGTGTTTTTCTAAGCCTGTTGACAGTGTCATCCACTCATAATCTGGAAAGAAAAGTAATACTTACCGCGAGTTCCAACGAAAAGGCGACGAAAGCGAGAGAAAGAGAGAGAGAGGGGAGAGAGAGAGAGTGAGAGAGAGAGGAAACCCTCCATCATGTTTTATGCAAATAACCCTCGAAAACGAGACAAATTCCACCTCTCTCTCGACCCATCACAACACCCGACCCCCGAACCACCCTTACCAAACCACAAACTAAAACCCCAAGACCCGAGAAACACCAAAAAAAAAGAAAAAAAAAAGCACACACACTGTATATAAATCTCCTGTTGTACCTGAGCATTCTGAGGCCTTTGGTTGATCGCTCTCAGGTCTATGCAACCCTCGTCCAGGATGTGCAGGATTTTACAGATCATCACACCGTCTCTAAGAAACCGACAAAGGTCCGCGAGTTTAGCATTTTCCGACGTGAGGACATGATCTCTCGTAATAAGCTCTATTCTCGCCAGCCAGTGACAGCACTCCTGCCACAGCTCCTCGCCGGCCATCTCGCCTCCCGA